TGTGACATTTCTCCATGAAAAATATTTGGAAATGGTTTACTGGTTTATCAGGCTACCCCTTTGTTATTCTTCATTCTTAGGATGATTTGTGTAATGTTCTGGTTTTTAAAACCGTACCAAAGGCTCTCTGAGTACATAGCAAAAATATCATATGTAAGAATAGAAATAAGCATGTGTCTAAATGATTGCGTTTTATTGTTTGAAGCCTGAATTGTCAGGATAGAAACTGAATGATCAGGCTGTGATTCTTTTCTTTCAGTCCACTAATTTCATTCACCACTGATCAAGCCCTTCCCAGGTTTTGAGACATAGATCAGTAGTTCAAGGTTAGCAGTCTTCACAGGGACTGGGGCAGGCAGATGATAATTTTGAAAAATGGGACTGTGGAAGTCCTAGAAATGGGTATGGTATTATTCAGCAAAAAATATCTTTGCACCATGACTTCAAAAAGCACTACTGATGTCACAGGTATTTTTTCCTCGATATTTTATTCATCCTGTACGATTGCCCTTTGCTTCTTCAGAGAGATTACCTTTCTCAGAGAGAGAGGTGACAACAGGCTCTCCCTCCTGATGCTTTCTAAGCCATGGGGCTTGCTTCCATTTACATCTCTGCACTTGTCATTTATTTGCTTATTTATCCACTTCTAACAAACTGAAGTGATCATTTCCTTATTCACTGTTGTTTATTGTGCTACCCTGTTACCTTTGCTGCCTGACAAATTACCCCACTGGACTGCAGTCATCTGAAGGCTTGCCCAGGGCTGGAGGGTACATTGCTAAAACATGGTCCATTCACACCCTGGCCAGTTAGCACTGGTTATTGGTCTGAGGCTTCTGTTCCTTGCCACACAGGCTGCCCAAGTGCCCTCATTGAATGACACTTTGAGGTACCTAGAGTGAGGAATCCATGGCAGAAGCCCCAGTGTCATTTATGAGTTAGCCTCAGAAATCATACTCTGCCATTTATGCATTGTTTACACACAGGTGCCCTAGTCATTGTGGGAGGGGGCCACCTGAGAGGGTAGAAATACCAGGAGATGAGCATCATGAGGGCTGTTTTAGAAGCTGGCTACCACAGCTGTTTAATATCTCTCTTGTTCCTCATTTGTTGCTTCCTATTTTTGGACAGCAGTGTGGAGTTAGAATGACCATTCTATATTTGTACATAGCTTCCCATGAAAATATACCAGAGGAATTTGAGAAGGACCTAGCTTCCAAATTGCCAGGAACACAGTGACAGATCATAAAATTGCATTGATTTAGAGTTTACTAATTTGAGGATTTGTGTTAATAGAGGAGTCATTTATAGGATTTTTCTTAAATTTAAAATAATTTCCTGTGCAAGGCCTTTTGACTAGGGAAGATGCATGGGTGGTGTACGATTAAAAATGATAGATTACTAGCAAGTATTTCCTTGATAGTTATGTGTCTTAGTCCTTTTGGGTAGCTATAATGAACTGCCGGAGACTGGGAGGCTTATAAACACACAGAAATTTATTTCCCACATTTATGGAGGCTTTGAGGTCAGAGATCAGGGTATGTCAGCATGGTCTGGTGAGGGCTCTCACATGGTGGAAGGGGCTAGGGATCTCCCTGGCCTCTTTTATAAGGCACTCATCCCATTCATGATGCTCCACCCTTTATGGCTAACCATCTCCTGAAGGCCCCATCTACTAATACCATCACTTTGGGGGGTTAGGATTTCAACATAGGAATTTGCAGGGTGGAGCATGCAAACATTCAGACTATAGCATTATATAAATAGATTTATTCTGAGTCTATAAATTTCCTTCAGCTTATCACGTTATACCCAGTATCATCTATTTATGTACGTTATGTACAAGCATTCCCCAACTGGATTTAAAAATAACATTTTTTTAAAGCTCATTACTAAGGAGGTTTTATTCCCTCAAAGGAGAAAATGTTATATTGCTCTCGTGTTCTTTGAATTGAACATGTGTTCCAAGGCATAATTCCAACCCACAGTTATTTAATGTATTAAAGACTATTTTTGTTTTGAAGGTTAGAAGGAAATAATACCATTGCAGTTTTAGTAATGGAAGAAACCAAAGAACTGCAATCTTGAGTAAGAGGAATTATCTTTAATCTGGTGCTTAAGGAAAGATTTCTATAATTTGAGAGAAGGTCTTCTTAGAAATTTAGGGAGAATCTGAAAGAGGTCTCTGGATTTCATTTAATTTAAATTATATATGTGTGTGTGTGTGTGTAATAAATATATATATATATACACACACATACATACGTACATAAACACAAATGAATCAACCCCTATTCTCACTCTCATTGGCCTCAAGGTGTTTTTTATTTGGTTTTGGTTTTTTTTTTGGTTTTGGGTTGGTCTTTGGAGGGAGGTCTATCTACTAGTAAGTCCTAAAATAGAATGGAGAAAAGAAAATCTGGTGTTATACAGTAAACCTTAGAAGAGAAAGGAAGCATGTTGGAGACTAGAAGTGAATGAAAAGAATGAGGAAATTTGGAAAAGGGGGGAGGGTTGGATTTTAAAATTTTTAAAAATTTTTCCTAAATAATTGTCATGCTGTTTTTCCAAATAGTAATAAAATAGAAAGTCATGTGATAAGTTGATGCTTAAAAGAGGAAGTAATGTATGGACAAAAATGATGACAGATTATAAATGATTATCTTGTGGTTAATTCATGATAAATTGCAATCTTATATGAGTCACAAATAACTGTACTTGAAAATTTATACTAGGTAACAAAACATTTTCTTATTCTTGGAATTGTTCTTTGTATACCATTTTTTTGTGGATTTGTATGCTGCTGTAGATAAAAGAAGATTCTGTATAATTAGTTGAAGTTTTGTGTTTTTGGGTTTTTTTTTTTTTAGAGTGAATGGGATAAAACCATATTGAGAAACAGCGTAGGCATTGAGAAAAAGTTCCATTTATGATTCTTGGAACAGAAAATTGGTAAAATGCCCTCTGAAAGCTGAATCAACTGTTATGACCAGTTTTGGGACATGTCCTTCTCAAAGTTTCAAAGATCCTTGTTGGATCTGTGATTTTTATAATTTCTCTTAATCCAGTGATTTTTTAAAACTTAAGATTTAAGAATTTAGGTTCAGTGAATTAAACGTTGAATCAGAGTCCATATATAATATATGAACCAGGAATTTAAAATGAAACCTAAGGGGCACTTGGGTGGCTCAGTCGTTAAGCATCTGCCTCTGGCTCAGGTCATGATCCCAGGGTGCTGGGATCGAGCCCCACATCGGGCTCCCTGCTCCGCGGGAAGCCTGCTTCTCCCTCTCCCGCTCCCCCTGCTTGTGTTCCCTCTCTCACTGTGTCTCTGTCAAATAAATAAAATCTTTAAAAAATAAAAATAAATAAAATGAAACCTCAGTCATGGTTCCTCACTTCAGAGAGCTCACAATTAGATTGAGGAAACAGTTCACATATGTAAGTAATGGAGATAAAAATTTTATAATTACTTTTTTTAGTGATTTCTTGTTTTTATTTTAAAATTTTAAAGATTTATTTATTTATTTATTTTAGAGCAAGAGCGTGCATGAGAGGGACAGAGGGATAGAATCTCAAGCAGACTCCCCACTGAGTGTGGAGCTTAATACAGGGCTCAATCCCATGACCCTGAGATCATGACCTGAACTGAAATCAAGAGTCAGACGCTTAACCAGCTGAGCCACCCCGGCGCCCCTTTAGTGATTTCTTTTCACCGGTCAAAATTTAAAGTATATTATCCCAAAGTAAGCTTTAGCATTGAGTCTAATTTATGTAATAATGTATGTGCCAAATCTAATGCTTGTGGCCACCTTCTCGTTCCCCCATGTATGAGCTGAAAATGCCCTGCCCTGCAGGAAGATCCTGAGTTGGAAAAAGACTTGTGCCTTCAAATTGAATGAGGGTCAGAAAGTCCCAGGCAAACTTCATTGGAGATTGAGGATGACTTACTTAGATGCCAGTGAAATTCTTGAACTCCAAGTTTCTTTCTTCTTTTTTTTAAAGATTTTATTTATTTATTTGAGAGAGAGAGAGACAGAGATAATGAGAGAGAGCATGAGCGGGGAGGAGAGGGTTCAGAAGCAGGCTTCCCGCAGAGCAGGGAGCCCGACGTGGGGCTCGATCCCAGGACCTTAGGATCATGACCTGAGCCAAAGGCAGACGCTTAACGATTGAGCCACCCAGGCACCCCTGGAATTCCAAGTTTCTAGAACAGGTTGCTTGTAAGAAAGAGGAGGAGAGGATGAGGCTAGTAAAATACTTTTGCAACTCTAGAACTGAGAAAACACTGGAACAACATGTATGAACTTTGAGAGAAAGGACCTACCCACCAGAAGTCATGTACATAGTAAATGTCAGGGCAGAGAACAAGAAACTATTGGAAATGCAAGGAATACCAACGGTGGACCCAAAATGCTGAAGAATCTACCTGAAGTAACTCTACCAGATAAAGATGGAAGCGTAATGTAGTTCTGAGGATAAAAGAAGACAATGAAAATAGGAAGCAAATGCAGTTTTATAGGAAACCTGTACAGTATTGTAAATAGTTAAATCTAAATGGATGGAGATAATCAAAATCTTGCTCTGCCTTTATGTCCTCCACCTTTTCCCCAGTTTCAGTCCATTTCCCAGCCCCATCCCCCACACACTTCTTTATGGTCATTTCAGTGGATTTTCAGGAAGCAGATGAGGTTAAAAGCATGTGTTCAATCTAATGTCCTGATTTAGAAAATCTGTTTTTAAAATGCTATACTTGTTACCACAAAGGTTGTTGTAAAGTTGTTTGTTCAGTGTTCTTACTGCAAACAATAGAAACTAGCTATGGCAGATTTAAGCCAAAAAGAATTCATGGATGGGGTACTGGATGACTCTTGGGATCCTTGGGAAGGCTGGAGAACCAGGCTCAGTTAATTGGAGAGAAATTGTATAAAACTTCACAGTGACAGCACTATATCTTCATTTAGAAATAAACTGCCTTTTTCTTCTCTTTTCAAATATAGGTTATATATTTGGGGAGAGCTCCAGAAGAAGCATATAGAATATTAATGTGTGGAGATACATCCTTTATTCCTTTCAGGTAAGTATAAGAATGATATGGTAGATTCATTCAATCAGGCCCTTGCCAGAAATATCTTGGTATAGTTGTTTCTGGGGGGAAAAAAGAAAAGACCTGGTAAATAGTCATTTTAGAGTGGGTACAAATAACACCACAGATCTAGGTTGCTCAACAGTGACACTATTGACATTTTGTTGTGGGGGCTGTCCCGTGTGTTGCATCCCCGGCTTCTGCCTACTGGTTGCCAGTGACACCTCCACCTCCATGAAATTAATTGTGGAAACCAGGATGTCTCTAGACATTGCCAGATGTCCCTCGTGGCAGTGAATCACTTTTCTGTGAGAACCTCTGCCACTCATGGAAGCTATACTTTGTAATCAGATGAAGTCCTGGAATTCTGGTACTCAGAGCTACCACTGAGGAGTTTGGGTCCTGAAGAGTTAAGAAATAAGTTTTCCTGATAATCAGGAGTTAATTTCAGTGGCAGAAAGGAACCTCTTCATCCTAGTAATATGCTAGCAGAGAGTGGGTGAGGTTGCTAATGTAGCACCACTACTAGAAAAACGAAATGGCTGTGTCATAGAGGATGTATAGAAGTGATGTCCATATGTAAACGGATGATAGCCTCATCCTCATCTCAAACTTACCAGGTGATTGTGTTGAAGATACTTTGAAAAAGCATGTGTTCTTCTTTAAGTTCTAAGTTTCTCTACCTGTTTCTCAAAATCCTTGGCTTAGCTACGCAATCAAAATATTGTATGGCACTTAACGTGTAATAAACATGTGAAATAATTTTATGGATTGCATACTGTGTTGATAATTTCAAGTACTGCATTTTTCTTCCACTCATAAGTTAGTAGTTTTAGTATTGTTGCATATGCCTTGGATGTTGAAGGTATGGCCTTGCTTTTAAAACGTAAGGTTGTGAATTTGACTTCATTGTAGACGGGTTTTGGGATGAGTCTCCCATTGAACTTAGGCAGAATCTTCTTCAGTAACTGTAGGACTGTCCATGGACTTACTCCATAAATAGATATTTGTTTCAGTTCTATATTGCACTGAAAACTGTATATTAAGTGATTTAGCAAATTAGAAGAATTGCTTTGAACCCAGTACTACCATCTTTTCTTTCTAGTGCAAGGATTATGTGGGGTCTTTTGTTATTTGAGGTAGGTAGGAGGAGATGAAGATTATTTTCTAAACTGGAGAGCATTCTACTTTTCTTCTCAACCTGTAATATAACAGCAACCATATACTTCCTTTAGAAGAAATGCTTGTATCCGTGTTCTGTGAGTCACAGGAACATTGGTATACAGTGTTAATTTTGTTGTAGAGTTCTTTATATTGGTATTTCTTTATAATAGTGCCATTTCATAACATAAGGTCCTGAAATACAATAAGCACACACATTTCACGTATCCAAGTAAGGATCCACAGAACACTGTTGATGTAAAAGAGAATTTGCATTAATTTAAATGCAAAGGCCAAAAATAGAATAAATGTTGCTTTTTTGCCATACCTGGTTTTAAGATGATTGAAGTTTGGCACTGAGAAATGAAGTTAGTTACTTCTGGTCACAGGAGTAAAGTTAGTAATTCTCTAAAAAACAGGACTTCGCTAGAAACAGCTCAAGTTTGTAAAATTTGAATCTTTATAGTCCTAGATGCCAGATATTTGATGTATCTAAAGTATTGTTTCTCCAAGTATGGCCTGTGAACTTTTTGTTATCAGCTGTGATGAGATAAGTATATTAGAAGAATTTGGGCTTGTATTTGAGGTGTTTTTTCCTTCTATTTTTCTAGTAATTCATTTTTATTTGTAAATAAATATTTACATATTTTTATTAAATAGAAAGTATTTTTTATTTACAGAAATTATTGTTATTTTTGGGTATGTAATAATACAGTACTATTGTATTTTATACTTAATGCATTTTACAAAAGTAGCCTATGCAGATTTAAAAATCTGGTGCTTCACCACATTTTACTGTTCTTTTAAAGTTACTAATAAGAAAGTAGGTCAATCAGAATTAATAAAGCTTGATAATATTTTTTTAAGCTTGATAATATTTTGAAAGAAATTGCGTTGTAGTCTTTTATCCTTGCCACTTTAAGAGTGTAGAATAAATATATGCACTTAAGTACACGGGATAAATAGAGCTGTTAACAAAAATAGCACTCATTTGCAGTTAAACTTTTTATGCTCCATAGCAATATTTAGTTAGATTTAATTCAACTTAGATATAATTCTTTAAGCACTGAGTTTACATGTTTTGTATATACATATATATGATTTCTTAATGGATTATATCAATATATCTCTGCCGTCTAAATAAAAATACATTATAAAATGTAGTTCAGTATTTTTTTGATACCTTAGTGTTATTGTTAGGAAGAGCATATACTGCTGTTCTTTGGTATTACCTGTAATACTCCTTTGCTTCTTAGTTGATTTTTTTGTGGGGGCAGGGGAAGGGGGCCTCTGCTTTCTGTTTTCTTTGGAGATAGTATTGTAGTTTTTATAGCTAGATTATTGATGTCAGACCAGGGGGAGTTTGACCCTCAGTTCTGCCACTAACATCTCTATGGTTCTTTACAAATGTGAGCCTTGGTCTCCTATCCATAAGTGGCAATGACAGTAGGATCTCCCTAATGGGGTATGAGGATTAAGTAACATCCTGCATATAAAACACCTAGTATAGTGCCTGTCCTGAACTAACATTTATTGGACATTCATATTTTTGGTTTTTTTTTCAATTGATGTATATCTTCATATAGCTAAAAGAAACTTACTAATCTCATATGTATATGTAACTACCGTCCAGTTCAAGGTACAGAACATGGCCAGCAATCCTAAGGATTCCCTTTAGCCCCTTTCTAGTCAGTAACCACCCCCCAAGTAACCACTACTTCTACCACATCAGTTTTTCTTGCCTTTGAACTTCATATGAATGGAGTCATACAGTAGGCATTTTGGAGAGTTGGGACCTAGCTTTTTTAAATACATAATGCCTGGGGTACCTGGGTGGCTCAGTCGGTTAAGCGGCTACCTTCGGCTCAGGTCATGATCCCAGAGTCCTGGGATTGAGCCCCACATCGGGCTCCCTGCTCAGTGGAGAGCCTGTTTCTCCCTCTCCCTCTGCCTGCCTCTCTGCCTACTTGTGCTCTCTCTCTCTCTCTCTCTCTCTCTGTCAAACAAATAAATAAAATCTTTAAAATAAATAAGTAAATATATAAATAAATACATAATGCCTGTGAGATTTATCCATGTTGTGGCAGGTATCAGTAGTTCATCCTTTTTTTTATTGCTTTTGTAGCATTCCATTCTATGAACATATCACAGTTTTACTTGCCCTTAGTCCTTTTGATGAATCCTTGTGTTATTTGCAGTTTTTGGCTATTATGCATACAAGCTGCTGCAAAAGCTGTTATTCTTAAAACCAGTATTTGACATTGTTTTGCAGTTTCTCAGCAATACTCTTTCATTGATTCTCATCTGCCTTATTTATTTATTTATTTATTTATTTATTTATTTATTTATTTAAAAGATTTTATTTTTAAGTAATCTCCACACCTAACTCAGGGCCGAAACATACAATCCCGAGACCAAGAGTCGCATGCTCCACCAACTGAGCCAGCCAGGCACGCCCTCGTCTGCTTTTCTAAGTTGTTTTGTTTTTTTCTTTCTTTTTTTTATTTTATTTTATTTCATTTTATTTTATTTATTTATTGTTAGAGCCCAAGCATGGGGAGCTGCAGGTAGAGGAAGACGCAGGCTCTCTGCTGAGCAAGAAGCCCGATGTAGGACTCGATCCCAGGACCCTGGGATCATGACCTGAGCTGAAGGCAGATGCTTAACAGACTGAGCCACCCAGGCGTCTGCTTTTCTTAGTTTGTTAAATGTTCTTAGTGACAAGTACCCCATCTCCCCCGCTCCAGCCTTACATCCAGATTCATAGCTGCTATTCTGCTGTTTTGAAGAAGCCTGATTGCTTGGGTGGAAGGAAGGATGTGTGGGTGTATTTAAAGTTGGAGGTGTAAAGAAATAAACATGAATGAGTAAAGAAAGATTTTTGTTGTCTATTCAGGTAGTATGATGTATGAGGCAGAATTTTAGCTGAGCCCAGATTAAAGCTTGTGGAATCATCATTGACTAGAGCAGGGCTTGGCCCATTGTAGGTTCTCAAAAAATATGCATTGAATAAATGTATCAAGTTATCACAAAGACTGAATCAACATGCCTTTAACTTGACTGGGGAGGAATTATCAGTAGGTTAAGAAGATAATAAAAGTAACTGAAGAGACATGGTAAAAACACGGGGATGTAATTTGAGAGTTCACCGTATTTCCACTGATAATTTTTTTTTAAAGATTTATGTATTTGAGAGAGCACACGCAAGCAAGAGGAGGGGCAGAGGGAGAGGTAGAGAATCTCAAGCAGACTCTACACTGAGCAGGGAACCTGACACAGGGCTCAGTCAGTCCCAGGACCCTGAGATCATGACCTGAGCCGAAATCAAGAGTCGGCTGCTTAACCAACTGAGCCAACCAGGTGCCCCTCCGCTGACAATTTTGGATTTGGTTTAGGTTAAATTACTTCATTTCCCTACCATAGGTTCTCTTTCTAAAAATGTTCTTTATTCCTTGAAAAAATTATTCCTATAAAACATAAATTTTGTGTTGATTCTATAGGTCAGTGGTTCTTAAACTTAAGTATACATCACAATCACCTGGAGGATCTCTTAGAACAAAAATTACCTGGCCCACCCATAGAACTTCTGACTCAGTAGGTTTGGGGTGGAGCCTGGGAATTGGCATTTCTAACAAGATCGGGTGATGCCTATGCTGCTTGACCAGGGACCACACTGGGAACTATTGGTCGTTTTGTTTTTCTCCTTTCTGAATATTGCCAATAAACTATGGGTAAAATCATTTTCTAAGCTGCATAGAGAGCTTTTCTAGCTTTTAGAAGAGAGTGGCTTTTTAAATTCAGAATCTTACAGGAAAAAATGGTGTGTTTTAAGACTTTGTGTGCAGTCCTTTGAGGCTAACATATAACTTACCTCAGTAATTCTAACCAATTCGGACAGTAATGTCTAAAACTATTTTAAGTAAAAAGGATGTCCTTTTCCTCCTTGTTCATGTTGCTGTAAAAGTGTGTATTCTAAAGGTTTGTGTAAGTTGAAATTTTAAAATGTGCTGTTTAGGGGCACCTGGGTGGCTCAGTCGTTAAGCATCTGCCTTCGGCTCAGGTCATGATCCCAGGGTCCTGGGATCGAGCCCCACATCGGGCTCCCTGCTCCATGGGAAGCCTGCTTCTCCCTCTCCCACTCCCCCAGCTTGTGTTCCCTCTCTTGTTGTCTCTCTCTCTGTCAAATAAATAAAATCTTAAAAAAAAAAGATGTGCTGTTTAATTTTTTAGGTAAGTAATATTGCAATGGGAAAACCCAACCAAGGCAGGCAATTAATAATGGCGGCTTCGGTAGCAGCCTGGTTCCACCAAGGGACCAAATAAGGACCATTCAGAGAGTCACAGTTGTTTGGCATTTCTAGAATGATCACAATTCAATTAATTTCTATCTTGCCTAATTCCAAACATTTTCACTTTGTAATGGCTCAGGTTAGCTGGAAAGGAGAGCAGGTGGGAGTGGAGGATTGCTTTATTTTTCTGGACAAAATCTTAACTGACATTAAGAGATTTGTGGTAAGATTACTGATAGCCGTTGATGCGGTATTGGGCGGAGTTGTCTGTAAACTAATTTAAACTGCCCAGGAGTACTAAAGGTGGTTGACCCATTAGTTCCTGTGGCTTTCTTGGTACCCTACTCTTCTAAGAATAGGAAAGAAGTTAGTTAACTCATTAAAGATTGTGAAAGCATAATGAGAAGAGCAGACTTTTTTAACTTGCATCCAGTATTACATATTACCTTGATTTCCCAATATTTTCTTCCTACATGGATGGACATATACCTACAACACATACTTACACTTGTATGCATATATATGTAAATACAGAATCAAAAAGAAGTCTTTCCTGGTAACAGTTTAATATAGTATTTTCCAGTTTGAAGAAAAAACGCAATTCCTTGAGCCCTTTTGTCGGGAGGGGAACATTTTACTGATTAGAATTCAAGAAGAAACTTTTGAAGCCTAGCCATCAAGGCCAGAAATGATCTTGGGAGATCATTTGAAATTTAGAAAGTGCTCATTATTGATTCACATATATAAAACAGTATCTGCTGGAATAGGTAGAAACTGCAGTGAAATTTATAACAGTGACTTATCTTTGACTTAAAAACAAAAAGGCGAGATTTTTTTTTTTTTTTTTTAAGCCTGGTCCTGATTTTGTGGTTTGATTTTAAATTCTAGTCAGCTCTGTCTTGAGGCAAGTATACTACAGAAAATTAAATTAACTGAGCTATGTATTCCAATACTTTTGGGATTTCAGAGATGCTGCCTATGGAAGTTGCAATTTCTACATTACGCTTCTCGACTGTTTTCATGCAGTAAAGAAGGTAAGTGATTCGTAGGATGTGCCCAGTGTTGAGTTGGAAAACTACAGTTCCAGGAAGTCTAGGCCTTCCACAAAGATCTTCCAAGATGTGTATGATGTCAGTGATACCCCATTTCCCCACTAATGTTAGAATGATGCCAAACCAGAAAAGTTTTTCTGAATCTGAGTTTCTCTGAATGAGTTGGGAGAAAAGCCGCTTGAACAACAGAGGACAATAAGAGATAGTTACATAATTAGGTGCTAAATCCAGACTTGCTTTGAGTGTGTTGTGATTTCAAAGAAAAAGTAAATTACTGGTTTCCAGGTTCTCTTTGATTTGTGTATTTTTTGTGTCCAATCAATATCCACCAATCCTAATTACAACGGACATTTCTAGAACACAGTAACTGATACAAACACTTCGTTTTTGTATCTTCAAGCATTCAATTTTTAGTTCAACAGAAGAATTTGTATAGCCCATTAGTTTGTTACTAGGTTTCATACAAGACTAAGTAGGGCACCGCTGCTTTGTAAAGGCTATTTAAAAATAACTCCTGTGTTTTATAACCAGGGCTGCCTGCTGTCTTTGACTCCTAGGGACACCTTTCATGTCATGGTCCCCTGGAGTTCTGTGACGCAGCAGACTCTGGTTATAGCACTCACTCCCTCAGGTATGTGTCTTGAATGTCAGGGCAGCACAAGAAACAAGAATTGCAAATCAGTTGCCCATGGATCAAATAGGCCTTCAACAACGTCTCAAGTTTTATGTGACTTGTATTTTCAGAGGCAAAAGGAACCTGGGTTTACTTTCTTGTATAATGAAACACGGTGGCTTTCTGAGAATTTTGAGAACTAAGTTGTATACAAATTCAGAGATTAATTAGTATACCTTTTGCCTAGTATTAGGCAACAAGGTATGGAACTTAATGTTTTTTGGTGACCATCAGTCCAGTGACTGATGGAGCTGGTCAGGTTCGTTGCCACAGGCTTTGAGGTAGCTCCATCAGGCCTCAGGTTAGGCAGGTAACATGCAGAGGGAGTGCTCAAGAGATGGAGGGAGAGCAACTGTAAACAAACCCCTTCCAACTGCAGTTACAGTTCCTGCCAGATGGGCCCCTAGGAACTGTTAATGTAGGCAGGCATACTTGTCCTGATCCTAGGGCTCCCTTCTGTCCTTTAAAAGGAGAGATGAAAAACTTAGAGAGCCTTAGAAATGGTCAACTATAACATTCTATAGAGGTTTCCATTGTTATTTCTCAGGTTAGTTTTTTTTTTTTTATCAGATATTACATCCAAAGTCTAATTAATTAGCAGGAACTATAGACCAAGATTGCTTTTCTCACTCTATATTTAATTTTATTCGGCAGCTTCTGATTTTCAGTTTAAACATTTTTTTGTTGGTAGCTGATTTGGAATATTACTACATATATAAAACATTTATAAATATAATTGTGACTTAATTTTAATGAGGCTTCTAATAGGCTCTCCTGATGAATAGAAATTGCCTATAAACCACATTTTACTGTATCATTCTGTTAGGAACATCTCTATTTCAAATGGAATGACATATATTGAGTATTTTGAATTCAAAGAAATATAATTCATCATGGTCTTGGAATTAGAATTTAAATAGCTATATTTTTTAAAATGGGGGCTTTTTGTTTGGTATTGTAGCCTTATTTTTTATTCGTATTTCAGTAGTTAAATTTTGAAAGCTGAGTTTACAGAGTCACCCCTTATGAACCAAAAACACCTCGATGATCAAGAATTCTTGCTTGTGCACAGAGATGGAAAGTACAGCATAGAGAATGTAGTCAGTAGTAGTATATAATAACGTATGGTGACCGATGGTGACTACATTTATTGTGGTGAGCACTGAGTAATGTATAGAATTGTCAAATCATTATGTTGGACACCTGAAACTAATAAAACATTGTATGTCAACTGTACTTCAATTAAAAAAAAATTCTTGCTTACATACTGCTTGGCTCGAGGATCATCGAGCAGGGACAGCGCTTCTTGGGGCCACCAACTCATCTTTGTCTCAGAAACTAGATACTCTACCTATTTTGCTTAGCATGATCTGTCCACTGCAACTCAGAGTGAGGCCACAGAACAGAAATCTTATGGTTTTTCTTTTTATTGAAAGAAGAATTTTCTCAAAATTTTGAATTTTCTAGTATCAGGAACATTTAATATTTTAATTCAAATTCAAAAGAATTTGAAAGTGAAAATATTGATGAAGTGGTGGGATTTGCTTAAGATAAGCTAACCTATAGTTTCTTCTTTTTTTAAATTTATTTAGGGATCATTGCTTGGGCATTATGTTTGAAGGCTGAATGGTGTTCATCTACTAAGTTTAGTAGGATTACTTTGAAAACTTGGTTATTTAGTTCTGCATGGATAGGATGACTGATGAAGGAAAGTTAAAAAAATCAAATCTCATTAAAATAAATATTGTTATAACTAATTTTCCAGATAATGGAAACATTTAAAACACATAGTCCACCTTCTTTGAAAACGAGTCAGTGGAACAAAATCTAAATATAATAATGTTCTTTTGGGGTACCTCCTGAAGTTTTTAGTTAGGAAATTGGATTGGAAATTGTTTTCTTATTTACATCTTTATTCTTAAAAGCTTTCCTTTGGATTTTAGGCAATGCAGTATGACTTCCTTAATTTCAACTCATTTAACCTTGATGAATATGAACACTATGAAGTAAGTTTTCAAGGATATCACTTTTAACTCCTTTATTCATGTTTTACTTACAGAGATGATATTCTTGTTTTTTAAAGAAGTGAACAATTTAGATGTGTATAGAGTAAAAAAAAAAAAAAAAAATCAAGTCTTTATCCTCTTACCCCCAGTTCTGCAGTTCCATCCAGTTCTTAGTGGTGATTTCTGCATTTCATGCATCTTCTCAGAACGCATGAATGTGCTTATGGGCATTTTTCTTTTTTTTTTTTTTTTAGTATTGATATTTTAATATCAATACTAAATTGATATTTAGTATTAATATTTTTTAGTATTGATGATTTTCATATAGTGAGTAAATGAGGAAATCATGAAACCCTTAGCATAGCATCTGATGAGATGAATAAATAGTCATTATACATCTAATTACCTCTGGAAAATATGTTTTCATCATAACCTTTTGTTTGTATGCAGTCAAGACACTATTGGTTGCAAGTTACAGAAAGTAAATAGAAATGGCTTAAATAAAAAAATTTATTGACTTACATAAATAAAAAGTCCAGGAGCAGGTGTAACTTCATGCATGACCAGATTAATATACTCCAGTACTTACCAGAAATTGGGCTTAAGTTCCCCAGTAGTGATAGAGATGGCAACCAGCTGCTTTGATTTATTCGCTCAGCAAACTCATCAGAAAACACCCAAAGGTTCCTCATTGGCTTGCCTTAGATGTGTCCGCCCTAAACCAGACTGTGGTTCTGATGAGGGTGGTTGGTGGGTGGGCCATCTCGGTAGTTGGAGTGGAGTGCTGGAATCAGCCTTATCAAGCCACACAGACAAGGAGAGAGAGAAGAAAGTCCAGAAAGGCAAAGCAATAGATGTCCTCTATGTTTTCAAATGTTGTATATTTGTTTTTTAAAGAATAAGTAATTTGGTTCTACCATTCTACCTTTTAAATAGTAAGATGCTATGCTAACAGTCTCTTCCCCAAGAATACTTGTGGAATCTTGGCTTTTTATCCTACTCTGGTTATCTTGAGCAGACGTTCTCACTCATAATGGAGGGATTCCACAGATAGCACCTCATGCAGCAGTATCTGGAATCCTTGGATAACTGTCCTTTCACAATCGATTGCTAGAGTAACTATTATTTTAAACTGTTAGGTAAAACTTTTAGTAGTTACGATTAGTCACTATTGTGACGTGCAAAGATCTAAAGCATAGCTCAAGATTGATTCATTTGGCCAACTGTTTCTTCTCTGTAATAGGAGTATGTTTCTGAAGTACAATATATATTTAATTTGCATCTTAAACTAGTAAATATAACTTAATACCATTATTTTTGTGCTTGTCCTCATAAAATTAAACTAAATTTAAAATAAAATATACTTTCTCTTTTTAGGCAACTAAAACTAGTAAGAATGCCAGTTGGTGTCCTTCAGTGAAGCAGAGTGATGTCTTTATATGTTACTAAGGAGTAATATAGGTGCTAATTAGTTTCCCTCTCAATGCAGAAATTGCAATGTTGCGGAGAGTAGCCAGGTTGCCCACAAAAGCTGTTCACTTTAAGTGAAACTGCACTGAGACACAAGAAACTGTTTAGGTAGCTACAGACCATGGGTCTGTATTTAAAAATTTTGGATTAGTGTCTTTCATTGATTCCATGATGCCCATTTTTTCCCATTTTAACTTCTCTGAATTCAGGATCCATCTTACAATCTGTGATGTCTGCAATTCAATGAAATCTAATCACAGGATTCTCATTAAAAACTCCAGATTTCTGGTTTCATTTCAAAATTGGAATATCTGGGCACGTTCTCATTCCTGTTTAGGCCTTTTAGTATGGAACATGGGCTCATTAATTTCCCTTCAGTGATAATTAAGTCAAGTAAATTGGATTTGGATTTCCTGACTGGGCGGCAGATATTCAGGCAACTCCCGGTTTATTTCCTCCTTGTTCTTGGGTGCACCTATGTTATGTATACCCCAATTGCAAAGCTAACTAATCTTGTTTTTATTGCTAGTTCTCTCCTTCTCCACTATCAAGTGTCTTCTACTTCCTGCTTAAGTCTTTGTGTGTCCATTTCTATTATTGTTAAAGTTTAGCTATATTTATCTTACAATAATTGTTATGGTAACGTAGTTGAAAGGACTTAACAGGAAGTAAAGTGTTTTAAATTTCAGTCTATATTCATGTTTTTTCCTAGAGATCTGTGATCTTACTGTACTTGTAATTTCAAATTTCCTGGTGCAGATTTCTCATTGACCCTCTTACTAAATAGCTAACAAAATGATGGAAGTGTGTCTCTCTAGAAGTAAGGTGTAAATATGGAGAAATCAAGAATTTTGTTTCTTTCCCTTTGTTGAAGGAGTCAAGATTGCTCATATTGGAAGCCAGTTAGTTATTCGGGAAAACAGGGAAGTGTCTGGATTCCCTCATAGTAAAAAAACTTTGCTTTCTTATAAGTAGCAGCAACCATATGAGAATTTACATGGATAAAATAACCAAAATACTTAGGTATATTTTAGGTAGCAGCAGTCAGCTCTATTTTCCAAAGGTTGACTACCCTAGAAAAGAAATACTGTTCTAAGAACAGTGATTAGGACCAGGAGAAGTTAACTAACTCTTCCCTGGAAATATTAATAGGAGGCTAAATTTTAGTTTCCTGTCTCCTGGTCATTTATAAACAGTTCTTGTGCTAAAGAGAATGGATTTGAAGTCCTTCAGACACTCAGTATTGAGAAGGGATGTGGACAGGAGATGAAGTCTAAAAATGAATTGTACGGATCTTCCCTTTGCAGAAAGCAGAAAATGGAGATTTAAATTGGATAATACCAGACCGATTTATTGCCTTCTGTGGACCTCATTCAAGAACCAGACTTGAAAGTGGTATGTGAAAATAGGGAACCTACTACAGTTTTGTTATTAAAAGAAATATCCATCCTGTATTTTTCCTTTGAAAGAGGCCAAAGAGTTAAACCACGCTTGTCTGTCTTAATTATTTAAATACACTTGGTCATTTTAGTACATCATTCTGCCTGGCTTTTAACTTCTTAAACTAGTGCTTTTCCAGTTATAATCAAATTGGTGTTCAATCCTAGTCCAGATACTCTTTCCACCCATTCACAGGTAAAATTGTTATCCATTGTTTTTCTTTTCTGCATTTGACAGCATCTGGTGAATTTCTCTATGTAGGTTACCACCAGCATTCTCCTGAGGCTTATATTCCATATTTTAAGAATCACAACGTTACTACCGTTATTCGTCTGAATAAAAGGATGTATGATGCCAAACGCTTTACGAATGCTGGTTTCGATCACTACGATCTTTTCTTTGCGGATGGCAGCACCCCTACTGATGCCATCGTCAAAGAATTTCTGGATATTTGTGAAAATGCGGAGGGTGCCATTGCAGTACATTGTAAAGGTATGTTTCCAGGGCTGGTTAAAGAATGGTGGACATGCATGTATGTATATTTAGAAACACACCATGCCCGTTTAGATTATATGCCAGGACACATGAAGCTGCCTTTCTTGTTTTTTGTAAGTTGCTTTTTTCTTTTTTTTTCAAAGATTTTATTTATTTATTTGAGAGAGAGAGAATGAGAGACAGAGAGCACGAGAGGGAAGAGGGTCAGAGGGAGAAGCAGACTCCCCGCTGAGCAGGGAGCCCGATGTGGGACTCGATCCCGGGACTCCAGGATCATGACCTGAGCCGAAGGCAGTTGCTTAACCAACTGAACCACCCAGGCGCCCCTAAGTTGCTTTTTTCTTAAAATCACTTTATTGAGGTATGATTGACATTAAAAAGCTGTGCATATACAGAATGCTTTTAAAACCCTAATTTCATATGAAAAGTATAATCTAAATTATATTCATTGGTAACCCTACAAAACCTTAATCTCACTGAAATGCATTCATTTAGGGGTGCCAGGGTGGCTCAGTCGGTTAAGCGTCCAGCTTTTGGTTTCGGCTCAGGTTATGATCTCAGGGTCGTGAGATCGAGTCCCATGTCAGGCTCATACTTGGCAGGGAGTCTGCTTGAGATTCTCTCCCTCTCCCTCTCCCCCTGCTTTCTCACATGTGTGCTTTCTCTTTCTCTCTAAGATAAGTGAATAAAATCTTAAAGAAAAAAAGATATGCATTCATTTATTCCTCAAAGACCTATTCAGGGCCTTTTGTTTGATATGTTCTAGAATATGTCAGTGAGCAGAGCAGACTCCGAGAGCTTGTCTTTGTGGAGCTTATATTCTAACAAGTTGCTATGTTTTCAGCAGCTAAAGCAGTGCTTTGGCACTTAATAAGTATTTATTGAATGAATGATTGTGTAATAATAATTGTGTGATGTACTAGGGTTTATTTAACTTCTCCCACATTTAATAATGGAAAAAAGCAACCAGATAGAGGATCAGTAAGGAAATAGGAAATAGAGGATTTGAACAACACAATAAACCAACTAGAAATAACAGACATACTCAGAACACTGGCCCCCAACAAGGAAATACACATTTGTCTTGAGTACACAGAGGCCATGGTGGTAATTGCTACACAGCAATGAGTTGGTTAATGCCACTGAAATGTACCCTTAAAATGGTTAAAATGATCTCCAGACTCCGACCGTAAAGAAACCTAGATTTTTTAATTACTGGGCAAAGAATTTGAAACAGCTGATTTAAAAATGCGCAGTGAGCTGAAAGGAAACACAGAAATAAAACCACGAAAATGATGCATGAACAAAAATGGTAAACTTTATGTCATATATATTTTACCACAATTTAAAAAAATAAATAAATCCAACACTGGTTATAATTTTTTAAATTATAATAAGCAGTTGAGGTTATTCTCACCCTCATTCAGGGTGGTTCTGCGCCCCCCAGCAGACATTTCGCAATGTCTGAAGACATTTTTTTTGTTTTCACAAATTGGTGGGAGGATGCTACTGGTCTCTGGTGGGAAGAGACCAGTGATGTCTTAAATAGCCCACAGTGCACAGGACAGCACTCACACTGGCCCCAAATGTCAACAGTGCTGAGGTTGAGAAACCCTGAGGTTGACTGGTGGCCAGTTAAAAACCTGAAGAGGATTTGATATGACTCGATCTTTGTTTTGGAAGAAAACTGATGGCCGTGTAAAGCTTGGATTTTAGGGAGTGTATTAATTTGCTTGGGGGACCACAGCAGAGTACCACAGACTGTGTGGCTTAAACAAAAATTACTGTTTCACAGTTTCGGAGGCTAGAAATCTAAGGTCAAGACGCCGGTAAGGTTGATTTCTGGTGAGGCGTCTTCCTGGCTTGCGGGCAGCTGCCTTCTTTTTGTCCTCTGTATGCACTCAACTCCTGATGTCCCTTCCTCTTCTGCTAAGGACACCAGTCCTATTGGATTTGGGGCTTTCCCCACGTGACCTTATTTAACCTTAATTACTTCCATAAGGCCTTTTTCCCAGAGATGGTCACGTTGGGAGTTATGACTTTAACGTGGATTTTTGGAGAGGCAGGGAGCAGGGGACACAGTTCAGTCCATAACATTGTGTTCTCTGGTTGCCCAATATTTCCTGTCTTCATATGACAGCCCATCCCAACAGCCTCCAAAGACAATCCATTCCAAAATCAGTTCCAGGTCCAAAGTCCCATCTAAATATCCTCTAAGTCAGATAATGGATAACACTCCAGGTACAATTCATCCTGAGACAGAATTCTTCCCCAGCTGTGAACTGTGGAACCTGACAAGTTAAGCGCGTCTAAAGTACAATAGTGGGACACCCATAGAGTAGGCGTTCCCATTCCAAATGAGAGAAATCAGGAAGAAGAAAGGTCTGACCGGTCCCAAGCAACTCCAAAACCTGGCAAGGCAAATGCTAATAGATCTTAAGGTTCAGAATTGATGATCTGGTTCATTTCCTGTTACGCAGGCCCACACGGCTAGCAGCCATGCCCCTGAGGTTGTGGGCAGGAACAGCCTGGCCCACTGACCACAGAGCTGGCCCTACCGTTTGAAACCCAGGACTAGACAGCCTTGTCCCCGGGCTTATGGTGGCAGTGGCAGCCTTGTTGGTCCCTTGGGGTTATGCTTCCCTTTTCTTGAAGGATGAGGCATGTTTCCAGTGAGATATTTCTATTAGTCCTATTAGAATCCCAGAAACCTGAAAGCCTTCCCTTATTTCATCCTGTGTGATGAGTTCAGACTGGCAGGGGGTCTGCTTGGTATAATCAATCCCAACACTGTTTTTGGCTTCTGCTGAGATGGCTGATTAGATCCATAGGTAATCACTTTATGGAGTAGATCATTGACCATACCCTTGGTGTTCTTTCCAGAACACGCTTTCTCACTGTTTGCAATATGGATAGGCCTAGAATTTTCTAAATGTTTAGTTTCTGTTTTGCTTAACGATTCCTTCTTCAGTTCATCTGTCTTCTCTCACGTTTTACTGTCATAAGGAGAAACCGGGCTGTACTTCAATACTTTGCTTATAAAGCTCCTTTGCTAAATATCCACGGTTGTCACTCACAAGTTCTACCTTCCATAAAGCACTAAAACAATTTAGTCAGGTTTTTTTTTTTTTCCATTTTCTAACAAGGATTGCCTTTCTTCTGGTTTCCAATAACATGTTCTTCATTCCCATCTGACTCAGAATCAGAATCACCATTAACACCCATATTCCTACCAACAGCCCCTTCAAGGTGGTCTAAGTTTTTTCTAACATTGTGCCTTAAAACTTCCAGACTTCTACAGTTCCAACTCCAGAGCTCCTTCCCATTTTTATACATGTTACAGTAGTACACCATTTCACAGTACCAAAATCTGTCTTAAGTCAGGGTTTTCCAGAGAAATTAGAACCAATGGGATGTAGATATAAAGAGATGTATTATAAAGAACTGGCTCATGTGAATATGGAGGCTGACAAGTACAAAATCTGTCATGTGAGTTGGCAGGCTAGAGACCCAGGAGAGCCGATGGTGCAGCTTAAATCTGAAAGCAGGCTGTTGGAGAATTCTCTCTAGCTTGGGGAAGCCAGTCTTTTTGTTCTCTTCAGACCATCAGCTGATTGGATGAGGCCCACCCACATTATGGAGGGTAATCTGCTTATTCACAGATCTAAATGTCAGTCTCTTCCAAATACACCTGCCAGGCTGACATACAAAATTAACCATCACAGGAGGTAATGATCGTAGTGTAGATGAGAGTAAAGGAGGACAGCAGGAATAGAGTTAAAAAAGAAATCCACGTGAAAATGGGAATAAAAGTAGAGTAGAAAAAACTGTTGGATGAGGGGAAAAATGTAAAAGTTGAAGCCCATGAGTTTGGAAAGATGGTGGTACCATTAACGGAAAACCCAGGGTAGAAAACAGTGCACTTACTGAGAATCATTGCTTGGAAAAAGTGATTTTTCACTGTTGACTACTATCTGGGGGATGTTAGCAATCTCCATGTCCAGGCTGTATCACATACCAATTAAATCAGAATTCTGGTGGTGAGACCCAGTATTTTTTAACACTCTTCAGGAGATTACTGTGTGCATCCAAACTTGAGAACCCCTGTTGAGGGAAGCAGAATCATGGGAAGCCTTCTAAAAAATTGTACCTGCCCAACACAGTTCTGGAGTACATGAGACCAGGTCCCTTTGGTTTGTTTCTTTCTCTAGCTGGCCTTGGACGAACAGGCACTCTGATAGCTTGCTACATCATGAAGCATTACAGGATGACAGCAGCTGAGACCATTGCTTGGGTCAGAATCTGCAGGCCTGGCTCAGTGATCGGACCACAGCAACAATTTTTGGTGATGTAAGTAGACAGAGAACTTTGGTAATTCCTTAGGGAGCACATGGGTCTGGAAAATGATGGGAAGTAGGATTTTTCTTAGTCTCCAGTAACAACAGATAGTCTGTAGGAGAGAGTCGTTTTCATGTGTCTTTCTAAAAAAGCTGTATTTTGATGTTATTTAAATGCTCTAGGAAACAGGCAAGCCTCTGGTTGGACGGTGACTATTTTCGTCAAAAGTTAAGGGGTCAGGAGAATGGAAAACACAGAGCAGCTGTCTCAAAACTCCTCTTGGCTGTTGATGACATTTCAATCAATGGGGTCGAGAACCAAGACAAGCAAGAACCCGAACTGGTAATCGAACCATCCCCATCACGTTGTTGCCATTGTTTTCAGTGCTGTTGAGGACCTTATAGGGTATGGGGAAAATTGTAGATAAAAATAATAAAGCACATTTTGAGGGATTATCGTCACACATTTTTTTTTATACTTATAGCCCATTCTAGGAACTTTTTACTCAGAAAAGTTAAAATAAGGTCATATGTTCATAAAACTAAAATTGTTTGTTTACTCACTAGGCACTGGAAAAAAGAGGTGTGTGAAGTAAGCTCTTTAGATGGACCTAGTGACGCTTCCCCGTAGGCCCTGCTGCCCCACCTTCCCATTTTGCAGCAGTTGATTTAGGGAACCAGTTGTTTTCAAATGGAAAACTTTAAAGAATCAAGAGTTTAGGGGGTAGTGGTACTATAGTGAGTGGTGGTAAGTGGATTATGAAATTTTAAAAAGAATGTTTTCATTATTGAAAACCCATTATGCCTCCTCACAGTATGTTTTATAACAAGAGTGCTGTTGGGTTCTGTGTCTGTAAAGTTAACATTTGGGTGTCTTGAAATGCAACCTATAGCTTTATTTTGAAAGCAGCAAAATTTTTTAGAGTTCAGCAGTTTATTTGTATGTGTCTATATGGATAAATGTAGCTGCTATGCTTTACTGCCTTAAGTCCAACTGAAGTCACTAGCTCAGTGTTTCTTCACTTACACAGTACAGTGATGATGACGAAATCCATGGAGTGACACAAGGTGATAGACTGCGGGCCCTGAAAAGCAGAAGACAGTCAAAAACAAACGCTATTCCCCTCACGTGAGTCTGGTTTCCTTTATGCGGTTGATGTTATTTAATATGTATTTGAGGTCCTTCATGAGCATTTTTTCCTGTACGTTTTTCTCCATTGTCACATGCCCATTATGCCACTTCGCAATGGTTATTTACATTATTTAGAATCAAGGGGTGTTGTCCAGGAAGCTCTTGGCTGTCCTTTATCTCCGTCTTCTGTTGTAACCTCACCGGCCTGTGTACATGGGAAAGCAGTATTGGGAATGCTTTTTCTCATGGATAAGCACCACGTGACATCCTCAGGAGAGTGGCAGCAGAGGTAAACCACAGAATAACACATTTGTCCATAGTTACTGAAATTGTGAATTTCCTTAAATTTACTACCATATTATAGACAGTTTGTTTGGATATGGTAGAATTTAATCAGTGATGACATTGTGGCTTACTGTCCAATATATTATTTTATGACAATAATGAACTGGATTAAATAATAATTTTGTATTGATTTTTTGTTTGAGTTACTTTCAAGTTACAGAAGAAGGTTTAGTATGGGGATAGGAAGTTTTATAGTTAGTGTGTGTATGCCCACCTGTACTTGATTTTGTAAGTGCTAGTTGGGATTCACCCTCCTGGAACATCTAGGATCGTTAGAAAAATATGTAGAATTTAAAGACTTGGCCATTGTACTTTTTTCTAGTATATTCTTTAGTATATGCTTTCATTTATGCTGTTGGATTCCTTCCTTATAATCACCTTCCTTTTCAATGTGGGGTACCACATTTCTGGTTATGTTCTTTTTTGCAGGGGGCGGTGGGGAGGGAGAGCATCTTAAGCAGGCTCCGTGCCCAGCGTGAAGCCCAGCACAAGGCTCAGTCTCATGGCCCTGAGATCATGACCTGAGCTGAAATCAAGCATCAGACGCTTAACCGACTGAGCCGCCCAGGCGCCCCTCCAGTTATGGTTTTTTGGTGTGTTTTTTTTTGGTGATGGAGACATGTCATTTTATTCAGTAATCATCTGTAATATGGTAAGGACCTAATGACATCATCAATGTTCATGGCAGAGAAGAACAGGCCTTCTTTTTAATCAACAGTGGTTCTTCACTGGCACCTCCTTGTTATCTAAAGTTCCAAAGTAGAATTACAGGCATGTGTCTTCATGGGCCCCTGCCGTGGAACGTTCTTAAAAGACCCACGGGAAAGAATGAAGTTCTAAAGGGCCGTGTGAATGAGAAGTGTCAGTATGGATGATGGCATTCACTAAGCCTTCTGGACAGTTTGGTGGTGGTGGTGCAGCATTTAACTGAGAAAGCTTTAAGAATGGTGCATTTTATGTCCTTTATTTAACTCCAAAGCCATTTTGATTTTAATTTCATAAGTCTTCCTCTAAGGCCTTCCTGGTTCTTTTTATTTAGAAATATTATAGTCCCCCAGATAATCCTTCTGAGGCCAGAGGAGGCATGATAGGTGTAGGTACTTCCCTAGAGCAGTGCTCAGACTCCACTGTGCATTTGAGTCTCCTGGGAGCTTGTCAGAACGCAGATTATGGTTTTGGGCCTGGAGTGTGGTCTGTGACTGCAAGCTGCCAGGTATCGCGTACAGTGCTGGTCCAGGGCTTTGAGTCACAAGCCCTGGGAAATGGTTGATTTGTGGGTTGCTTTTAGTCGTGCCCAGGTTTTTTGTTTTGTTTTTATGAATCTGAAGCATCAGTTTATTTCTCAAAAGCTTCTGATGAAAAGTCAAGTTGGGAGTTGTGGTGGGAATTCTGCTTAGTCAAATTTCCTGTTAAATAGGGCTTATAGGAAATTTCCTTCAGCAACTCTGAGTCTGCTACCTTGTGATATGTGTTCCAGAGAGTTCATGTCACTTGCTGCCCTTTTCTACAGATGAGACGATAAAAGTCTCTTTCATAGCTGATAGGTTTGTGGCAATGTAAAAGAAAACAATGAATGAAGCCTAAAATTCTAAATATTGTTGGAAACCAGAAGGCGACACTAGATGTGATCACATTCACCTTGGTGTGTGAGGTGTCCTGGGGTGAAAGCTGAGTGGTCAGTGATGGCTGAAGGAGAGACCAGCCTCCACTATCACTTGTCACGGAGTTACACCCCACCTTACCCCCAGAAGGACATCGGCCCTTTTCTCTGAAGCATTTGGCGTAAGTTCTCAACCAAGGAAGATGGTGAAAGTTAAAAAAAAATAATAAAGCAAAGTTAAAAAATAAATAAATAAAGCGCTAGTTCAAGATCCCTTTAGTTGTAATTGTAATCTTAAAACCAGTAGAATAGCTCCCAAGCTGTCCCCCTCCCATACACAAAATTAAACTTCTGGCCACACTTTTGAAGGAAAAAACAAAATGCTAGGGGCGCCTGGGTGGCTCAATCGTTAAGCGTCTGCCTTCGGCTCAGGTCATGATCCCAGGGTCCTGGGATCGAGTCCCACAATGGGCTCTCTGCTCCGCGGGAAGCCTGCTTCTCCCTCTCCCACTCCCCCTGCTTGTGTTCCCTCTCTCGCTGTGTCTCTCTCTGTCAAATAAATAAAATCCTAAAAAAAAAACCAAAATGCTAAAATCCTTTTAAGTTCTTAAGTGTAAAAACCCTGGGGAACTTTAGATTACTTTGGGTACATTTCCCTACCTCCTCCTCTACAACATTTTACTTATCCCTTCCTCTGCTTTTTCTGACCCTCCTTGCTGTTGGAATCCTCTCTTTTGCTCTTATGTGTAGTTCTTCTGGCCCTAGAAGAAGAGGTCAGTTGGGGATTGCCTTTCCTTCTGAAGTGGTGGTGTTATTTTAGAAATAAAAGAGAGAGAGAGTTTTCAGTAGCAGCTTGGGTTGAGAAATTTAAGTTCAATCCCCACCTCCTGTTGTTGACCCCTCTATCACTGTGGGTAACCTATTCTGCTTCACTATTGGTACTTAGCCGAATGAAAATACTTACAAGAAGGAAAGTTAGTGAAAAATATATAAGTACTGGTGATTCTTAAGAGCAGGTTTATACTACTCCAAATAGCATTCCAGTTATTGTTTTCTATTTTACAAACAGTATTTGGGGGAGAGTTAAAGTTGTTAGATACAGTAAGGTAGTGCTTTTCTCAGAGTCTGACTGATCCCGACTACCACAAAGACAGTAAATCATGTAGCACCGTGACCTTGACGTGATCTGCAGGACGTGATGGCAAGTATATTATTGTCTGTGCTAAAATAGATTTGGTAGATTTTATAACTTCATCCATGCTGCCTGTCTTTCTGCATACTGATCATTTCTGCTACGTTTGTTAGGGTTAAATGAAATGGTGCATAAAGAGTCAAGGGTACCCTACCTGGGAATAAGGTGAAAATATCGATCTAATTTGCTTTAAATCTCCCTTAACAGCACAGTATGGATGGGTGTGCTCTCCTCATTGGAAAATAATTCTTACGCCATGAGCTTTCATAGAAGAACAATGAAAAATCTGTGACGGAGACACTTGGATATTCAGATCATTCTGCCTTTAAGATCACTGTTAAATCAGTAACTGCAAATGAAACTTGGGGGTGGATAGAGAGTCCTCTAAGCCAGTTATTCTGTTCTGTCTAAATACTAAGCCCCTGTAATCTTAACATATATTAGTAGATTTTTGTTCTTGTAGAACGAGTAAATGAGCTGGTGCCACGTGTAACTTGCAGGGTGAGGTTCAATTTGATTTCAGGTCCATCCTTAGTGTAATCCCTTGTCGCTAGATACCATATAGGGTACCTGTTCAGTGATTAAGATGACAAGGACACCAATAAAGATCACATAGTAAGCCAGACCAGTCATTTATGACTCGATCAGCACAGTATTTGCACAAAGCAAATGCTCAATAGAGCCTTTTATGTTTGGTCACAGATGTGTCCTAGTGACCATTTGGAAGTAGCTGGACGGAGTCACCACTCTTCAAACTGAGATTTTCTTCTTCACTGCCAAAAACGAGACCGCTGGATTAGGAAATACTGAACTGAAAGCCAAGTTTGGCCACAAAAGGAAAATGAATAAGGAAAACAACTGAGCAAATTTATCTAATGTTGATATGTAGGGGAAATTTTCCCCATTTTGTGTTGCCCAGAGTTTGGTGTGCTTCTCTAGTCCTTATTTTCAGAGTATGCAGTTTGCCTTAACTCCTAGATGATCCAGTGTGGGACTGCATTGAAATGAGATCAGTTCCGCTATGCTGTGTTCATTTATAATTGTGCCTCCAGTGAATCATTGTTAATGCAATCCAGGGTTTCTTGTTATTTGGCTGGTTTTCCCTCCTTTTCCTCTGGTTTGGTTTAGTTTTGTGTGTGTGCATATGTTGTGCTTTTTGAAGAATTTCAATCCTGTAACTACAACTCTGATTTCTGTATCATATAATTAAGTTAACGTGGGGCAGTTATCCAGCTAGAGATTGGGTCTAATCTTTTGTTACCAAATATCAAATCAATTTAAAACTGAAGTTAGCATTTTCTCCCCAACATAAAATGGCAAAACTCCATCCTTGTTTCCCACCCCTTTGTATCTATCACAGGGTGTCTAAAATTCACATGTGGCTTTATTTATTTATTATTTTATTTATTTTGGCTTCCCAGTTTGAACATCTGCTCTTTTCCCTTCACCCCTTTCCAGATGTCCCCTAGTGGTGCTGACCTCTGCACTGTGTAGTGTTGTCATCTGGTGGATTGTTTGTGACTACATTCTTCCCATCCTGCTATTCTGTCTGGATGGTTTCAGAACACAGTAGCCGTCGGGACCCTTTGACCAATAGCTGCTGTGTAAGTGTCCCCTTCCATTTATGTGGTCACCTCTGGTGGACAGTGTGTTTCTCATGGTGCATGTTTTTCTCACTGTCAGCTCTCCTAGCTTTGTTGGTTTGCCTCTTTTCAAAGGTTCTTTTTCTGAAACTTCTCAATTAATGGGATGGTGGCAGTGGAAGGCCTTCCCTGATCCTTTCCTATAGGGATATTAAAAATAACAAGTTTTGTTTTTAAGTTGTGCTTACTCTTAATGCATTTTTTGAAATAGCAATTTATAAAGTCACTGAAATAGTTTCTTTTCCCTATCAAAAATAGTGAGTTCGGGATAATTGGGGTGGTTTTCTTTCAGTCAGTTTCCTCTAATTTTCCAGAGTAAATATCTTCAGCATATCCTTTTCAATCTAGCAAAAAAAGAATTTGCCTGGGGCGCCTGGGTGGCTCAGTCGGTTAAGCATCTGCCTTCAGCTCAGGTCATGATCCCGGGGTCCTGGGATTGAGCCCCACATCTGGCTCTCTGCTCAGTGGGGAGCCTGCTTCTCCCTCTGCCTGCCGCTCCCCCTGCTTGTGCTCTCACTCTCTCTCTCTCTCTCTGACAAATAAATAAATAAAATCTTTAAAAAAAAAAAAAAAAAGAATCTGCCCGCTGCTTTTCTGCTGTTGGTAGAGATTTGCTTTTGCAACTAGTGAGCGTTGCGTGGTGTTTCACCTCCGACTCTGCCGTTGGACACAGCGCTCTTAGCTGCAGCTGCTTCCCTGCTAAGTCTTCTGTCTTGAGTAAGCAGAATCTTCTCCTTGGCTTCATTTCACAACCTTCCCTGTAGGGAGGACAGTTAGTACAGTTTTCAAAAATGATGTTAAATGAAAATAGGACAGCAGAGAAGACTGGAGTCCCTTGTTCAGCCTCGTGTTTCTGCATGACCGACGCTGTGCTTACTTCCTCCCACTTTCCTTTCCCAGAAGTAATCAAAACGCCCTTATTGGGTGAATATAGCAGATTTTGTATTCTCTTGATATCTTTCACCCTTAAGCGAATACCTTAACAGTGAACAGACTTCTGTTCTGCAGTAGAATGTGGCAGGAAGCTTCCCCAGGGAACACCGTGCCGTTGCCACCGAGAGCACAGGAGGAGGGTGTGTCCTGCAAGACTGTGGTTCACCGCTACCCTCTTATGTCTGGGCTGCATTCTTTTTTCTCTGAAACTCTTCCCTTAGCTCATATTTCAAGAATTTATTTTCTTGTTCCAACTTGGACTTGGGAGTTGTAAAGGAATATGAAAGTTCCTTCGAGGATCTCCTCCAAAGTGGAATTCCATTGCAACCAACTCCCATGCTTTGAGGCTTCATGGAGTGTCTTCAGATGGCTAGAAAAGACTTAAAAATCCAGCAGACACCATTCTTTTCAAAGTTAAGGAAAGGCTGCTTAACATGTTCCTATTATGACATTTTCTTGAATATCTTATTAATATGAGTTTATTATTGCACAGACAGATATGCAATATTTCTGATATAGATGATCTTTTTGTTTTTTTTCCCTTTATTCCTCTTAGTAAGCTTAGATTTCTGCATATTCTGACTCAAAGAGCATCGTGCATTGCATTGCATAGATTTATTCTCGAACTCTTCTAAGTGGGGGAAGGTATTTCGAGTAGGTGGAGTTCTAAACGGGTGGAGTCGTTGCTAATAATACTTAGGCACTTCGTGGTTGTATTACTTTTCTCAGGGTAAGTTTAAAAATGGTTTCTATCAGACACCTTTCTTTTCAATATTCTATGTAAGATACAATCTTTTTTTATTGCTACTACTGATGTTTACCATTGCATTCGTAGACCCAAAGCAGAGTATTCAGTTTAGCTTGCCTGATTAATTTGGGATTTACAGAAACAAAAGCCTTCAGCAGTAACAATGATGTAAACAGGTATAATCCTTGTAGTTATCTTTTGAGAGGACTACTTACGGGCACTGTGGTTGGTATACGCCTCTATTGTGATGATGTAACGTGGCCTGATAGGTTGTTACCTGGCACACCTGGAAAATCAGACTATCCCACACCTCAGATGGCTGCATCAGATTCTGGCAAAGTTGTGTGTGAAGGTTGTAGGGCCTTAGGCCCATCACTTTGAAAGCTTGTTTTGTGTTGGTGGATAACCAAGTGTAAATAGTACATAGTTGCACTGATGGATTCTTTTCTTGGAATTGAACATTTATGTTCAAAGCATTTTGTAGTTTGAGAGGGAAGAGAGCTGGCTTGTCAGTTACTTGCTTTGCTGGATGCGTCAAGTTGCAAGTCTCAGTCTGGGAATACCGGGTCTCAAAAGAGGCTGCAAAGAAGAAGGTGAACTGTTGTATGGGCAAGACATTAAAAAGTAGGACTGCGGATTCTGCCAGGGAAAGATGGAAAGGAATTTACAGAAACAGAAGCCTTCAGCAGTGGCAATGATGTAAACAGGTATAATCCTTGTAGTTATCCTTTGAGGGTCCTACCTATGGGCACCGGGAAGGAGAAAATATGTATGTAGGATATGTTCTGCAAAGCCATGCGATTGGCCTGGGTTGCACAAAGTGAGAAGTAGTGGGCTCCCACATACCCTGTGGCAGAGTGAATGCGTCACCGAATTTGCCGGCTATGCCATCTTATGTATGGTGTGGTGGGTAGTTTATCACAGGTAATAATCTTAAGTATAGTTGCTGGGGGTTTTTCCAGTCTATTGATGCATAACCTACAGATATAGTAACTGCTCTGTTGTTAAGGCAAATAACTAGTGACCTAATCTCTACTGGTGTGATTAATGCATTCCAAATTTCTATCATGCTTTTATTTTCAAAAAATCCACATAAATTATGTACATTAGTTTTATAGAGAAAGAAATCCTTTTTTTTTTTTTTAAGATTTTATTTATTTATTTGAGAGAGAGAGAGAATGAGAGATAGAGAGCATGAGAGGGAAGAGGGTCAGAGGGAGAAGCAGACTCCCCGCTGAGCAGGGAGCCCGATGCGGGACTCGATCCCGAGACTCCAGGATCATGACCTGAGCCGAAGGCAGTCGCTTAACCAACTGAGCCACCCAGGCGCCCAAAAGAAATCCTTTTTAAAAGATGTTTCTTTCCTGTCAGCCTGAAATTTGATTTAGCAGCTATTTCATTTTTCAAATAGTAAATATTTCAGTAGTAATTTAAGAATTCAAGATTTAAATTTCCTAAAGCCAAGTAATATATTGGCTCTTGTTTTTATTCTCATGTTAATGATTTTACAGTGTGGTGATTGTCTATACTTTCTCGGCTGTAAGTGGCCTCAAATTATTTGACAAGTTGGTGTGGTATTTCCAAAAAGCCAACAGGAGTCTCATTTTCTTTCTTTGGATTAATGGAGATAAAACCCAGGAGCCTCGCGGAGCAGATGCGAAGCAGGTGTGAGGCTTCTGGACCACAGTGGCAGTACCACACTCTGGGCCTGGGCTTCAAAAATAGCAGTGAAGTTTGGTGGTGGTTTTGTTTTTCTTTATGAAAAGTTCTATATTCAAATCCTGTTAACAGAGACCATTAAATATTCTCCTGTCCCTCCCCCCCATTTGATATTTGATATATCAGAAAGATTTTTAAATCCTTGTTTTCAGAGGTAGAATTCATATACCAGGGCAATCGGTTGCCTTCTTTGATCAAACACCTGTCTGCATATACCTTTTCTATGTTGTTAGAATGATAAAACTTTGTCAGAAATCCTGAGGCAAGCATTGGCTCATTTACCCAGGATCAGTTTCCCTCTGAGACCGAAGGCCTGTTTCATAGGCTTTGAGAAATACCATGGGGATGAAGCAAAACAGCTGAGAGGGCAGCGCCCCCCCCCCCCCGCCCGCAAACAGCTTGGAAACAGTGGGCCTCCAGCCGCAGCTCTGGTACATGGCTACCCATTGCTTTTTTTAGTGATGAGAAGTTAAGCATTTTACTAAATGCTGAATATACTGTGGTTTGGGTAATACTAAGAATTTACTGATCTTCTTTACAGTTCAAGGCCCTGGCTTTGGTCATTAATTAACATGGCAGTAACTCGGGCTTAGGAAGTAGGACTCCAAGTTAGTTGTAATGGTTTCTGTTTACTCTCATGAGCTGGGTCCTCCTAAGTTGTTACCGGCTCTTACCTTTGTTTGGACAGGAGAGGAAGAAGCTTATTTTTAAGGCAGTTTCTCTTACAGATAAATAAAAGTTGAGTATATATAAATGTGTGTGTATGCAGTTCAGCATTTTGGTCATTATCTGTTGAAGAAGAGAATTGCACATAAAATCTTTTGATGTTTTCTGCTGTTTTCCCTATGACCATTCAATGAGGAATAACAAAATACCCTCTACTTTTGAGCAAGGTACTTTATGTGGGCTTTATCTGAGGGTGTTCTTCTGACTCATGAATTTGCCTCCTGGGCAACCTACACCCATAGGCATCAGTTCCTTGAGATTATTTTAGAGTTTAAATCAAATTTCACAAAATTTAAAGAGTTTTGCTTTCATGTTAATGGTACCTAGTGATTTAGTAAGTAGTTATAACCCAGACGAAATTCAAATTTTGCTTGAATATATTTTTAAAATTTGAAATGTTATATAAAATTGGTATTGATTTGGGGTTTATTTGTCCATACTTTCACCTCCAAAGAGCAACTATTTTATAGATTTTTATATTCATATTCTTCAGAATTTGGGGTTTTTAAATGATTTCTTGCTTTCATGACTAGAATTCTGAGAATCTACTTTTACTTTGGGGCACAATTTGTTTTACTGATTGATTTCTTTGGTGTGGGAATTGCTTAAAATGCCAGGTCACTTGTTTTCTAAAAGCAAAGTATATTCCAGTTATCTTTGTATAACCTTCATGGGGAAATGAAAAAGACTTTGATGTGAAAATGTGTTTCAGATTTTTTGGCAAATGTGTTTATGGAAAATCCTATCAATGCTCAGCAAAATAATTTGCACTAAAGTGCAAAGATGACTTCCTCCGTCAAGTATTTGAAAATTGTTTCAGTGAATATAATCTTATTTTTTTCCAACTGTTTTCAGAGTAATTCTTCAGTCCAGTGTTCAGAGCTGTAAAACATCTGAACCTAACATTTCTGGCAGTGCAGGCATTACTAAAAGAACCACCAGATCTGCTTCAAGAAAAAGCAGTTTTAAAAGGTGAGAAAAGAATCCTACTCTTCTGAAAAGTTCTAAGCATTGGTTTTCTAGTTTAATCTTCTGGAGATAGAAATGAAGAGAGGAAGAGAGGAGAAAGCAGAGTCCCTGTGATAGGAAGTTAATCAAATCTGTGTGACTTGTTCATCATCTAAGAAAATCTGGGCCATTGCTAATGTAGGGTTTGTTTTGTTTTGTTTTTCAGAGGTGGCTCTCAACACTGGAAATGTGGTCTCGGGGTCAGAATATGGGGAAATTGAGAGGGTTGTACTTATAAGCTCTTAAATTTCCAAAGCTCTCTGTCAGGACTCAGAGGAAATTTTTCTGTATGTCAGATACAGCATAATTGTTGGAGGATTAGCTGCAAATAAGTGTGATGGTGGGATAGGGGAACTCCAGTGAGTTTGGAATCATTGTTTACCTAGGGCCTGGTCTCTTGGCCACAGTGCACACCCTGGGGGTTCATGCTTTCACCCGGAGCCCAGCATCTTCCTTTCCTTCGTTATTACAGGCTATGACAAGAAAATGCACATGTTCCATGACCAAATCCATTACTCACTGCTGTTTTGGGATGTTTATCATGAACTGAAAGCAGACATTTCATTTCTAACCCATTCCAGAAGCAGTCCCCTTTTGAGGGAAGAGCAGATAACCTGCTTACTGTCCTCTCAGGAGTGGAGGCGAGCACCTTTTTGTTTTTGTATCTTTGCCTGGTGTCGACAACACGTGCGGTCCTGTGCCCACGGCCCAGCGCCTCTCTTACAATAGACCACCAGCGGCCTGAAGATAGTCTGAACCAGACTTCAAAACATCCTTCACGGTTTTCCTTGCTTCTTTTTAACTTCCTGCCCTCATATCCTTGAGGCTATGGGACGGCTGAGTTGGTCTCTAGGGTGGGTCCCAGCAGCCTGTGTCCTGAGGGACTTGCTACAAACCGGAGAGCTCTGTGTCTGTGTGTGTGTGTTGTTTTTTTTAAGGAATTGTTCGGTTCTGCCATTTCCCCCTCTGCTGATTTTTTCGTTATAATTTTCACTACATATGTTTACTTATACAAGAATGTGATAGTGCCTTAGTACAAGTAGTTGAGGACACCAACTCATAATTTTGGGGATTTTGAAGTTTTCATAGAAAGGTATCAAATATTCATAAATTTTTTACTCTATTGTCATTTGAGAAGAATATCAGAGAAATGCTGACAAAAAGTCAAAGATTTGGGTACATTATAACATAATACCAGTATGGTATTTATAACCGTGAGGAAGAGGAGATGGGCTAAAGATTGTTGAATTATGCCAAATGAATCAAGAGTCATGTTTTTAAAGAAAACTGAATGGCCTGGATAAATGCTCATGAAGCAGTAGGTGAAAAGACCTACACATGAAAATTATGAAGTATTACTCTAATTTTGTAAATGTACAGTAAACTTTATAGAAATGTATACATCTACAAATATATTTATGTGTTTATACATCTATGTATAATATGTAAGTTTGTGTATATTATACATATATTTAAATATTTATATATACATACATTTCTATGCATGTATGGAAATAAGGTGACCGAAAAATATGCCGTAATATTAACAGTTCTTCTAGTTGGTAGGACAGTTAGGGAGTTTTACTTTTTTATTATTTTCTTTTTCTCCAACTTTTTACAGTAAGTAGGGGGAAATAGGAGCATTTTAACTTTGACACTTTTAGGTGAATTAAACTATTAAAAGTTCAGATAAAAAGCCTGCTGTTGGGGGTAGTTAGACATGTCTTGAATGAACATTTTTTTTTAGGTGTAATTACTCAGGCTTCCATTACAGTTGAGTGTGTCTTGCACATTTAATTCTGCTTTCTGCTTTTCTGGATTGTGCTCTTCAGGCTACAGAGGAATAGAGTCCAGGAGCCAGGACCATGCGTGCCCAGTCACACCGTGTTCCTCTGAGGGGCGTGGCCACATGGCAGTTTTTCCATCTAGGTCTTGTCTAGTGATCTAAACTTGTGCTTCTCAGCAGAGGTGGTTCCTGGTTGCAGTGAGCATCTGCCTGAGGTCCCTGGACCGGATGCTTTGAGGGGTTGAAAGTAGAGTTCAGACTCAATACACTTGACTGAATTTTGAAATGGTGCAAAGCAGTTTCCAAGCATTTGGGATAGTGCCGAAAACCAAAAGGCTTCTTTTCAATTCTCAGAATGGACTTTTAGAGATTGGGAAGGGCGAAGAAATAAACCAGTGAGAGAGAACTGGGTTTCAAGTGTGTTTCCCACCTCCCTTCATGCAGGGTCTCCTTGGCCTCTTTCGGGTCTTTGGCCTGTGTTCACATCACCTTAACTGTGAGCCACCCACCACTCATGAAACGAAGACAAATCCCTTAGGTACAGGTCCCATTTCCTGCTTCTAGGAAGTAGTGGGAGTTGAGGTAGCCAAGCTGTAGCCTGAAGCTTTTATTGTACTGAATAGTATTCATTTTTGGTTGGAGGGTACTGAGGGAATTAACACATTTGTGCATAGTCTGATTCAGGACAAAATAATATAAGATTGTGGAATAATTGTGAGGTTTTGAATAGAAAACTTTGGTTTAGATAGCAATACGAGGAAGTGAAATAGTACACCTTTCAGTATAAAATAAATACCTCCAAGGCGCCAGGGTTGCCTATCTGCTGTCCCCCCCAACCTGTGAAGCCTTCTCTTTGTAGGTTGATGTTCACACATCATCATCATTGTCATAACTGTCCTGCCACAGGAACTTGACCTTGCATGCCTATGTTCTAGTCTCTTAGAGGCTTCCAGGATGAAGACCTCACCTAAGCTCACTTTCCACTGATTTGGCTCTTTTGATTTTTGACAGTTTACTGAGAGGCTGTACAACTTGGGACAGCTTTTCCACAAACACCTTAAAAGAGTAATTATTTGGAGGCTGAAAAACTATGTGTTGTCATAAGCCTTTGTTTCTGGGAAGAAATGCCACCATGTTTCTCTCATGGCAGATGATCATTTCCTCATGTATCCATGAAACACAAGCCTCATCTGAACCTAACTCCCAGGTGCCATGCTCTGCTCTGGCCCAGTGTGCAGTTCAGGCCCAGAGCGCTGGAGTGTCTGGTGGTAGATGGGGCACACTGACCCTCAGGGCCAAGAGGGTTCTGTGTGGCACCTTCCTCATCCCCTTGCTCACATCCAAAGAAGTAAATCAGTGGGTTTCCACTCTTCCCAGTTCCTGTTAGAGCTATAAATCATTCTGCTGTTTCTCTTTTAAGAATGATTAAATCCAGTGGAGAATTGGCCTGTTTTCCAGTGTTCTTTCTTAACTCGCTGACGAGCTCTCTTAGAGTCTTGAAAATCCCATCATTGTGCCTCTGATTGGGGACCTGCAGCCACCTCACCTCATGGGATACCGTTCAATTCAGTTCATGTCTTGACACAACGTACCATTGAGTGCATGTTTCTGTAAGCTTGTGCTGTTTCTTTGGAGGAGTCTGTCTTTTTTTCTTTCCTTCTTTTTTTAAACAATAACTTCATTTTCTAAGAAAATGGTCATAGACGAGTGATTTTTTTTTATTCCAAGTTACGTCATTGGGAACCATCACTTTCTGTCCACCTGTCAAACCAACCTAATGTTCATGGCTTCTGGGGTATTTTGCACCTAATAATTCCTGTTGTGGGGGAAGAAAAATGCTCAGGGTGCCTTCCTTGGCCTCTGAAAGCGTGAGTGTCTTCATGAGCCCTTCTGTCGGGAATACTACATTCAGGACTTCTTTGGCTTTTTTAGGCTTCTTATTTGTGACTTTCGTCATCATCATGTCTGCCACTGCTTCTTGTCCCTTACAGTCTCAGATCTCAGTGTCTGTTCCACCACCTCGAGGCTCCCGACTTTCTGTTACTGCCATTATCTCTGAAAGTACATCCATCTCAGAAGCCCCAGAATGTTGTCACTAAATATTCCTTTAAAAAAGAAAATGCTGGTTTCCTCTGATGTTCTAAAATACTGATTTCCCTTTGAAATTCCAGACATTTTCCCGTTGGGCTGCACCAGTTGACCTGGAGCCTTACATAAACTCAGTTTTCTGTTGGGGTCTCCAGAAACTAAGTGATGGGTTCCGGGGAGCTCGCTCCTCTCCGAGAGCGCCAGCATCACTCGGTGAGGGGCGCCTCCGTACGAGAACTGGCTTCTTGGACTCTTTTCTTTTGCTTCCTTTCTCCTCTGAAAGTTGCTGTTGAGTTGAAAGTTGACAGAATGAATTGGGACGGGAAGGAGGGAGGCAGGGTGAGAATCCGTGCAGGTCAGTCTCGAACCAGGGGCCGGCGGCACAGTCCGAGGATGGCGGGCGGCGGGCGCCCTCCGTGCACTGCTGCACTGGAAACTGCTTGAGGTGCCAGAGCTTTTTCTGTGACCGAATTCTGGCTTTGGGAATAATCAAGTAACACTTCTTTATCTTTTCGTTCTTTCCACCTTTCCCACAGCCTGGTTCCTCAGAGGGAAGGAAGGAAAAGGAATGCTTTGCAACAAATGCCCTTAATGGCATTATGGTACTCGCATTGCTCTGCCGCTTCTGCCCACCCTTCCTGTTTTCTTTGTTTTTATCGTTGTTTTTTTTTTTATTTTTTGCAGAACTGAACCTTTTTCTGCTCTGCCTTTCTCTCCCATTTGTCTTTACTTTATGGTTGATATTGTACTGTCTTTTCCAAAATACTTGTCATTAAAGAATTGCACAAAGCGTATACTTTTTAGCATGTCACTACTTTTATTATGTTGCCTTCCTTGTCTTTTGGTAACTACATACGGGACACTTGGAAACCTTCATGGTAAAATCCTTTTTTTTCTCCCCCTGTAGTCCCTCCATTTCAAGGACTAAAACAGTCTTGCGTTAAGTAAAAACCTGTGACCAGAACTGAAGGAAGACTCTAGGAACAGAAAACTACAGCAGGACTTAGCACAAATTTATTTGGAAACAAAACAAAATTGCAAAAGCCTTAGCTGCTTTCCACCTAAGAAGTTTATTCAATGAAGACAATGTCCACTGGAGTTTAAATAACTACATGAGTTTGGGCACAAGCAGTGACTTGAAGAAGGCCCAGCTCTCCTTTTGTAGAAACGTCTCAAGTTTAACGACAAAAAAGCTGTTGTAAGTTTAGTCTCAGGTGTAAATATGAAAGCCGTCTGGTGTCGGGAGAGCTGACTAGTCGGTGTGGTGCATGTGTGTCCCTGTGATGGCAATCATTTTAGCTGCTGGCCTTCAGAGGAAGTGAGGATCTGATGGAGGTTTTTTACGTATTTATTTTCTGTTCACCCTGTGTCGAAATTTATAAAGAGAAAACAGGCATTACTGAAATGGTACTCTCTGTAATTTGATACTATTTGGTTTAACCATCTTCACTTTAATATTTGTAACGTTGTTGTAATGGTAACTCTGTTTAAGTACCCAAGCTGCTTGTCTTCCACCAAAGAGTGCTTTATTAACAAGAACCTGTGAAAATCCTGTTTGAAGACTGTTGGATGTTGTGATACAAAGTGGTACTTTGGCAACCTAAACTGGTAAGAGAATATGAGTGGTAGCTCTAGAAGACTCGGGAGGGGAAACTGGCTGCAGAGTTGGAAGATTGTTGGAAGTCATTCCTCTTCGTGTCACTGAGGGACTGGAGGATGCCAAGGCTGCCCACTGTTTGGTTGCCCAGTCATACAAATTAAAATCGTATTTCCTTCCACACATGATTTAAAAAAAAAACAAAACACTGTTGGTGTTTCCCTTGGAAACAGCCATCCCAAATAATGGTGGCTTAAAAAAAAAAAAGGTACTGCTTTATTAGGGTCTTTCTCTGTAGCATTGTGGATTTCTTTTTTTTTATGTGATCAGCCTAAGACCATTCACACACCCTTTGATTTCAGTGACAGTTACTCGCATCTGGATTTCAGTTGTTTGTAAATAAGAGACTCACTGTTGCCTTTGGTTAGGGAATACAACTAACTCTTTGCAGAGTGCCTTCGCCCCTCCACCCTACAGAAACACAGCAGAGTCTGTGATATAAAGCAATCACAAAAAAAAAAATTTATTTGCTGCTAAAACAACAACAACAAAAAAATGGGGCCCAAAATACAAGAATATTTTGCAGTCACTTTGGTTACCTCCATTAATAAGAAGTGAGTGGTTTTAGTTTTTAACCAATGTTTGCCTATCCTGGTTTGGAGAACAGCGGTAAAGGCTAGAGAACGCAAATGCCTTCACATTACAAGATGAATGAACCAGGTGAGCAGGCAATTCCATTTTAAAAAGCTGCCTTTTTAACAAAACTATGGGTGGTAAGAAGTGGTTGGAATAAACAGATTAAAGTCTGTTAATGCAGAATTCCAGTTAAAGTTACTGGAAGGCCATGGCTCCATTTTGATATTTATTCTCTTGGAATAAATTATAAGGTTGACTGGCTTTGAGGGGAGATGGCAGGTGCCACCCTCTTGGTCAGACAAGTGCTCTTCCCCTTCAGGTGTAACAGGGGTGGGTCGTGCTGGCTTTTAAACACTGGGCACTAGATCTCAGAAAAAAAGGTGGTTTTCTATCCCTGGAAGTGAAGAGATACAAAGACCCACTTCCCCGACTGGACGACCCCTCTTCGCTAAGCTATGGGTGGGAAGAGAAACATTCCATTTGCTGTCTAGGAGACAATACTAAGTATTCAGACTGTGCCCTTGCATAAAACATTGAATTCTCAGGGCGATTTTAAAGGCCATCTCCTGCATAAATCATCCAGGTAGTTATGAAAATCAAACTTCCATCTGAACTGTCCCTGGTTTGGCTTTTTATTACATCAGAACAAGTTAAATGTGCTGTCTCCCTCACAGTGAATAAGCCATTTGGTGTCTTGGCCAAGAGTGAAAAATCTGAGCTTCAGTGTTAACCACAGTACTTTTTTACAAATTGCCTTTTTGTGTTGGCTGCTCAAGTTTCCAGCTAGCATTGCTATTACTGTGGCTCTTTCTAAAAAATCTTTGTGTTTAACAGGCCCACTGAAATGAGTCATAGGAAACTAGTGATTTGATAAAGAACCATTCCGTGGACCGCACCGGGGAGTTGGGATAGTGCCTTTCAGGTGGATTTGATAGCACACCAGTAAACTTTCTGGGGGCATATGTAGAATCCAGGAAGTCTCTGGGTCTGACTGATGGAAAGCTCTTCCTGCTATGAATAAGAGTGGACTCTTTTTTTTCCCCCAACGGAAACTTCACCACACCCAGAATCTTCTGAGATTCTAACTTCCTTGTGCAAGAGAGACCCTGTTGCTATGGAATATGAAATAGGGCACATCAGATGGAGAGATTCCTTTAAACTTAAGAGCCTTAAATAACTTTGAAAGGACACTGAGACAGTTTCCATTGGGATTAAAATGAGAAATGAATATTTTTAGGTGTTCTCAAAGCTTTTGGGGGACTCACATCCAAAGTCAGAGACAGTCCAAAGGAAGGGTGTCTGTCTGCAAAGCTGGGTATCTAGACGTAGAGACGGACTTCTGTTTTGTAATGCTGAAGGAAAACTCGAAACCTCTCTTAGCGGTTGGTGAGGAGGGATGAGACCTGAGCAGTGCCTCACTCAAACAAGCAGCCTTCCTCGTCCAAGTAGCCGCTCCCAGGCGGCACGCTGCTCTTCTGTTCTAACCTTGGCCCCATTAGCCTGTCACCCACCCACTCCCTTCTCGTCCCTCCTCCCCTCTCACAGGGGTGACTTCTACCTCTTTTCTTGGGCCCAGACATTTTTTAGAGGAGTTCCCAAGTGTTTTCCTGAGGCAAATGTGCTTGCCTTTGGAGCCTGATGGCCGGTCCAGCGCGCCCTGTGGACCACAGGTGTTCTGGGTGGTGTCGCGCCAAGAGCTCCTGGAGGCTTTCCTTTGCTTGAATCACCGCCATTCACGACAAATGAGCAATGCGCTCTTCTGATGTTTGTTCTAAAAGTAGCTTAACTGTTTCTCTTCATACATTTTTTTTAAAGTAATTATTGCATTTTGGAAAGCAGTACTCATCAAAAACAACTTTAAAAACCTATTTTAATTCTTTAATAGTTCTCTCCTGCTAAAAGTGTCCTGGTAAGGCTAGCTGCTGCTTTTCCATTTCTCCTCAATCTGAGTATTCCTCGTGTTGCTAAGTGGAAATACTACAGATACGTTTAAAAGACTGGACAATTCACCTATACTGTGTAGGAAATTACCTCCTTAATTGCCCAGTAGAATTAACTGTCAGCAGCAGATAAGTTCATCTGATTATAGTACTGCAGTTTTATATTAATAATTTGCAGACTTTTATGTAACCTGCACTCATGTACAGATTATTAAAAGTTTTAAAATGTAACTGATTAATCAGTATTTGATCATTGTCTTGATTTTTTATTAAAATGTATATTTCTAATCATATTTTATAAAGCCAAGAGAACTGGTTGAATGAATGTTTATTTTCCTGAAGGTATTTTTAAGATAAAGCTTCATAATGGCCTGTAAACTTTGCATATCTATGTAGTTTGATATGTATTGTTGAGTTTGAAAATCTTGTGTATTGTAACTGGTTTTATACAAAATATTAAATAGTGAAAATTGTATAATTATAATCATATAATTAAAAGTATTAACCAAACAGCCTTTTGGTTTATTGTATTCACTTACCATTCTGAATCATGGTAGGCAGTGGTCAAAATAGAAAGTGGATATAACCTTCTGTATTAGTTTGCTAGACTGGGCAGCTGAAACGATGTATTTTCTTCCACTTCTGCGGCTGGAGGTCCAAGCTCAAGGTGTTGGTAGGGATGATGCCTCTGTCCTTGGGCTTTTCTCTGTTCACTCCAGTCCCTGGTGTCCTTCTGTCTGTCCTCCTCTCCTCTCCTTATGACACTAGTCTAGATTGGAGTATGGTCCGTCCTAATGGCCTCATTTTAACTAATCACCTCTTAAAAGGCCCTTCTCCAAGTACAGTCACATTCTGAGGCACTAGGGGTAGGGCTTCAGTTTAACTTGGGGGATACACCTTCCTTAAGATGAGATAGTAAGGGGCTCCTGTTATGAAGCCCTTCTAGACACACCTACCACTAGCTCAAGTTATGTGAAGGTTTGGAGAACTTTCTGAGGATAAGACACACAAAAATCAGGCCCCTTGGAGTCTTGTGGGTTGTAGACTGTACTCCCCTCACGTTCCCTGCCAAGGTCAGGATTAAAGAGCTAAGCGAGGGGCAGGACCAACGCTAAGGCATCCCCATTCTGATGTCCAAGCCCGGACGCCATGAAAAGGCCATCTGCCTGCCTCCCCTCCACCTGTCTCTTGCTGGCCTGGACCCTGAAGACCTGATGCCCACACCATCACGCAGAGGTTGTGTCTGGGATGGAGGAGCTTGTTCTGTTAGGAGTGCTGTCCCATTCCCCAAAGAACTCAGCTTTGATTCATGCTAGGATACAGGTTTTCAAAGGACAAACCACAGGGACCTGCCTTCCCCCTCCCCCATCCAAACACCCACCAGGCGCTGCTCCCCGCCCCCCCCACCCAACCAGCGTGAGACTTGCAGGCTCTGTCCTCTGTTGAAGGCCACAGTATCTACCTGCCCCTCCGTGGTTTGCCCTGAGGCCAACACTGGGTCATGCACCCTCCTGCCGACAGCTGAAGGTAGGCTGATTGGCACAGGCCAAGCTGCCCAAAGTCCGTAATGCTGTGAAGGGGGCAGGCTTGGCCCCTGTAAGACTCGCGGTGAAACCCCAAGTCGCATCTTCCAGGGCCGTGCGGTGTGGGCGATGAGCCACGGAGACCCAGGCCCTGCAGATTCTCGCTCTCCTCTGTGGTCGACAACACTGGTGCCACGTACCACACAGACGATTTGCTAAACCCCTCTGCTTCTGTTTAAAATGGGAAGAAGAGCAATTCCTATCTTAACAATTGGTATGGGAGTGAAATGAGATAATCCATGCAAAGCAAAACAATGCTGGCACATAGCTTTCAATAAATTAATTTTTTCATACATTTAAGGTAATTTTCTGTAGATAATTAGGTAAAGAAAGATTGTGATCAATTCTGATCCCTCCATGTCTGGTATTTTTTGGTGCCTTATCACAGGTCCTAGTGCCGGCACAGAGCGTCCGATCCAGTCCCATCCGTTGACTGCTTCCTTGCCCTCCCCGTGTGTCTGAGTGTGGTGGTGGTGCTTGCGAAGTGGGGGGGGGGGATCCCCACAAGCGTGACGTGGAGTGCCCCACCTCAGCGGTCCATCTCCCCGTTGCTGCCAGCCTTTCGCTAATGCAGCGCTGCCTACACGTTCTCCCCTGCGATTCTTCCTGGGTGGTGCTGCCGATTTCCTTAGGACAAATTCTTCCAAAAGCCATTTCTACTGGCTCGAGAATGTGCAGAAATTTAAAGCTTTTGTTGCTGTATGCTCTGTCAAAAAGCAGCTTGGTATAGTGGTTCAGAGCATGGATTCTGGACCCAGGCTGGGTGCAAACGTTTGCTGCTTATTAGCTGTGTCATCTGGGCCAGGATGACAGTCGTATGAGGATCGAATGGGTTAATATTTGTTAATTAGAACAAGTGCCTGGCATATACCAGGAGCCATACATACATTGTGTTTAATAAGAAAAACATACTGCTTTAATGCTCTCCCTAAGGTCTGTGACAGGTGAGTGCGCTGTATTCCCTCCCTTAGCAGCAGTCGCAGGGCCCTGCCGAGGTAGCTAATGAGGAGCAGGACACTGGGCTCAGTGCTGTAGGTCACGGGGCACATCACTCCCTGCTCTATCTAGTCTGGACCTGTTCCTGCCCCATTACTTGGATTTGGGGCCTTTTGTCTTCTAAGTAGTCGGCACAGTATGTACCTATCACAGTCTCACTATTTTTCTCCGCTTATCGGGGGGACAAATGGACCCTTCTGAGAGCCTCCCCAGACACCCCTCGCTTCTTCACCGGGGGTGCTGGCCCAGGCCCTGTAGGAATGCAGAGCCGCGCACGTGGCCTGGCCTTGTCTGTCTCTCATCTCTTTACTAGCAAGTCTGCGTGGCTCTGACGTGCTCCTGGATGACAGGTGCTCCATCCACACTGAAATGCCCAGGTAAGGA